AAAAATGAAAATCACCCTAACATTATGTATTTCTTCAACACCACAAGAAAATGTAACACGTCACTGTTCTGGCAACTAATTTATGGACTGATGAAAACAAAACTGGTATGTTTTACACTGACACCCTTTAAATGATAGTGTAATGGTTTAATTTTCTATCTTGACTACATTACAAAACAAAATTGCACAAAAACTGTATTTATTTGTGGTATATTAACTACTAACTAAATTAGCTACTTTTTAAATTAGTATTGTAAGATATTTTATAACCCAATTTTAGTCCTAACTTTGTCAGATGAAGGTCTTTTAAAAAATCGTGTTACTAGATGAATTTGAGCTAAAGTCAGTTTGAATTACTGGGAGTCAGTAATGGTGGGATGACGATGGTGCAATGACTGGTTTTCTCATTGAACTGGTCTGAAGTCATCAGTGGTCTGAGGGCTCCTCCTCTGGTGGCTTCATGTTAGTAGTGTTCAGGGGTTTTGTTCAGGTCTACTGATGTTTGTGTTACTGTGAATCTGGCACAGTAATACACTGTAATACAATGTTTCTAGTAGAAGTGGTAAATAGAGGAAGTAGTTTTTGTATGGCTGCCCTACTGGTGTCTCTCACAGTGTCTCTTCGGGCACAGTAATACACTGCTGTGTCCTCGGTCTTCAGACTGTTCATCTGTAGATACACCTGCTTTCTGCTGTTGTCTCTGGAGGTGGTGAACCTGCCTTGGACGGACTGGGAGTAATAGATTCTATCACTGTCACCTTCAATGATCGCAACCCACTCCAGTCCTTTTGCAGGAGCCTGTCTGATCCAGGCCATCCAATAGCTATTAAAGTCCAAACCAGAGGCTGTACAGGTCAGTGTGTGGGATTCTCGAGGCCTTTTAACCACTGGTTCAGATTCTGTCAGAGTCTGACCATCAACACCTGTCAAGACAACAAAGCAAAACATCACATGCAACAAACCTACAATGTAAGAAACATCAAATAATAGATTGGTGAGGAGTTTCACCTGCCCAGCAGATAGTTAACAGCAGCAGTCCTTTACTGACATCCATCATGTTAAACTGTGTGTCCACTGTTCTCTGCATCGTCTCTGCAAACACATAAGTAGAAGTGGAACACACTGAAGGTTTTGCATTGACTCCTCCTCACAGCAGAGGAAACACCTGGACTGCAGATATTTGCTGAAACTGTGGAACTTGTGTTCAATGAATCAGTCCTCTACATCA